TCACGCGGGGTGAATGGGGCACTGCCCACCAAGAGCAATCTAAGTATTTGGGGCACTGCCCACGCATGCCTGGCAATCTCCCTAAAGAGTTTCTCCTTATGGCCACAGGGAGGAAAGGCGACCACATCTTCCAAGGGCATCATCTATGGCAAGCCTCGCCGCCCGCGCTTGATGGAGGCAATCCTCGAGTACATGATCTTCTGCAACGCAAGTACCCATGCCGCCTCTCCGACGACCTCGGTTGTGCACCCACCCCTGGCTGGAACGTCGCGAGGCTCTATGGGCCCATATATCTCACTAGATGCTGACACAACCAAACCCATGGCTGCACCAGCCCCAGTGACCCCACCTATTGCCGCCCCAATTTCGCAAGGCAGATCCGGGCGCTCCGGTTGCTAAGCCCCCTCCGCCTCCTTCAGCCCCCCCTAAGGAGCCGACAAAAGCTGCTCAGGCAGCGGAGGCTCCATGGCCGATTCGGGCCCAGCGCAGCCCCGAAGCCAGAACCCAAAGCTCCCAAGCATGAGGTCCCCACAATAGGACTATGAGACCAGGCCCCTCCTCCGCTTGCAGACGAGGGGATGAGACAGTTGGTGCTTGAATGACTTCCACGACTGGGTCCGCGCGTTGAGCAGGCTCCAAATTCTGATGGAATCTCGGGCCCCAGGCGGGCTGGAGATGGAGGAGCAATTGATCAAGAAGAGGGCAGCCAAGCTCGCTGTTTCTCCAGGCCCTCACAGGAGTGGTCTCACCTGGAGCACTGTCATCTCAAGACTAATCCGGACGGAAGATGGGCAAGTGGTGCCACAGGCGAAGGCTACACATACAAGGAGCTGGAAAGGGGCACGCAGCTCAAGGGCCTCATAGCCAGCCTGATCAAAAGCATACGGAAGCTGCCAAAAATTGTTGAACAATTTGGTTGCGAACACCATCAAGGCGGTCTGGGACAGCTCGGCTCGGGAGGCCTCATTGGAATCGAGAATGGTCATCCATCTCAACGAGAACGTGGTCAACGCCGGCGACACGCCTGGACTACTTGTAGGCAGCAAAGCGCCAAAAAAACGCGTTCCAACCCCACAAGGGGTCTGACCTCAGGATCGGGCACCGGTTCCAACGCGGCACTGCCTCTCAACAAAGGCGCGGCACTGCCGGCCAAAGGCTCGTCTAAAGGCCCACAGCAGGGCACCAAGAGCTCATCCTCGAGCTCAACCAGACCTGCTGAGCCTCCTCGACCTCCTCGGCAAGATCAACGAGAGCGGGAACGTTGGTCAGATCCAAGCGTCGGAGGGTGACTACGCAGGCTGGTGGAGTCGCTCCGATTGGACGTGGGGACACTACTGAGTGTCAGCAGACACATCCCGGCCTCAAGGGAGGACACGCGCATCTCTAAAGGAGCTGCATTTCCGCGGAGGTCTCCTCCCTGGACAGGGCTTTGGACTACGGCATGTACATGGCCGCGATGTTTTCGGAGATCACCGACGGCAACTACGTGACGACGATGCGGGACAAGCCCCTCTTCGAGGTCATCCCGATTACGGATGCCAGGTCCGTCTACGACGCGCGTTGCACCGCTACAAAGTTTCTCGCTGCTTGCATTTGGAGCTTGCATGCATTCCCATGCTGCCTAGCAGATTGCAAGTTGCCTCAGTTAACGCAGCTCCTCCTATGCTTGACACTGGTGACAGCAGGTACTGAAGTTCGACAAGCAAAGGATGATTGCGCAGAGCTTTTTGCACATATCTACGCAGAATCGTAGTGCGCAGACGCTGCAGGGCTAACCTGGTGGAGGTCTGGCAACAGCCTCATGTGCTTACGACTGGCGACGGCTGGGGACGGGGCAGCCAGGGGGGTCAGCAAGCGCGTAGATGTTCAACTTCCCAATATCTCAATTCTGGTACTATTGGTAACAGCTCATTCAAGTAGCATCAAAGTCTCACCATCTCGCATGAGTGCAAGGTAGCTATTGCCCGCCAAGCTCAGAGCACGCTCGAGCCGCGTTCAATTGAAACAGCAGTAGTAGTAGTAGTAGCAGTAGTAGTAGTAGTAGTACTACTACTACTACTACTCCTCCTGCTGCTGCTGCTGCTTACGGTTATTCTAGTATATATAATAGCATTATGGTAGATGCTGGGCGGGGGGGGCCCAGGGCACAGAAAAGAAACCTCTCCGGACTCCGGACTTATTTTATGGATTAGAGATATTTCCAGGTAAGAACCTTCAAATGAAGGAAAAGAGGGGCTGGGGGTGGATTTAGTATTCGTATAGCATCTTGTGTATTATATTACAGAATTTTTCGTAAAAATGCAGCATGCTATTGTAGAAACCCTGGCTCCGCCAAGGCGAGCTTTCGCACTGCATCTGCCTTCGCGGACGCTACTGGGACGACGGCACTTGCGGTACGGCTCCACGACCACGCAGAAGGGCGTGGCCTTTGCTGAAGTCTTTGCAAAACCATGTAGTGTTGTAGCGTTACTAGTGTTCTTCCTTTGTCATTGCATTGTAATTGTTCCCTTGGAATTTGAGTCAAAAAGGGATCCGTGTTGGCTACCTGAGGCGACCTCGGTCACATCTTGCACGTGCTTGCCGGACTTCGCCAACACGAATCCGGAGACCCCCCTAGTATTCGTACCAGTACTACTCGTACTAATAATAGTAGTAGTAGTAGTAGCAGCAGCAGCAGCAGGAGTAGTAGTAGTAGTAGTAGTAGGAGGAGTAGGAGTAGGAGTAGGAGTAGGAGTAGTAGGAGGACCCTGCTCTGGATTTGCGTAGTAGTAGGAGACCCCCGGGCCTGGTTTTGGCTTTGACGTCGAGCGAGGAGTCTGCGAAGCCTGTCCAGTTGGGTGTCCTGGCCATATTGGTCCTTAGGACCTGTTTGCATGGAGTTTTTCTTCTGCAACTTCAGCCGTAAGAGGCCCAGCATCTTCAGGCTCAACATACTATGATTGCTTTCACGCTATTGCGCTATTTCTCTCGTGAAGTGGCCTTTCAACGATTCTTGCGCAAGAGTTCCTGCGGCCCACTGCGCCGTAGAGTGTTCTCAAACATCTTTACATATGCTTTTGTTTTTTCGGAGATATGCATACATTGTGTTTTTTCTCGGGCTAGCGTAGTAGAGGCCAATAATCTTCTGGCTTACCGCCTAAAAAGCACTCCCATGTGGCCTGTTTCCTCTCCGGCGCACGTGCGTAAAGTACGGACAAGACCTCAGCTGGCTCAAAACCCCCAGCTGTTTTTGGTCGGCTTCTTGAGTTCCAGACAAATGCAGCAGCGACGTAGTCGTGCCCATCTACTTGGGAGTCCGCTCCCAAACTCCTCCACGTCTGGTGGCCATAAGGCTGAACATGGGGGTGCTGGGAGGTTTAGTAAACACTCCATCTCCTTGAAATTAATTTCCCCCTGTGCTTTGGTTTTGAATTTGAAGCAGTAGATATTGTTGGGACACCGAGTCTTCGACATTGGAGGGAAGAGGGTCTTGAACTCAACAGTGCAAATCCATCGTCCAACTCAGCCTTTCTAGGAGGAAAAGGTGGGTCTGGGGCGAAACGATGGGCACGTGATCTGAAAGCGATTGGGCAAAACCAGGATGATCTCCTGTCCTACGAGCGGCCTCAATCCTTCGTTTGCTTCTTGTTCTGGCGCTCCGATCTCGCCAGCAGAGGCGATGCTATGGCTCAGTTGACCCGAGAACCCTGCCCGGACCCCGCTGACCTCGCCTTCAGTTTGACTCAGGATGGACACAAGGCCACTAGCCACAACACACCAACATGTAGTTCCTGCAAAGGCAGTGGAATGGGCATGTGGGCTCACGCTGTGCACACACTCAACAACAACGATCAGAATGCCTCGCCGGAATCCGGCTTGACGTAATTAATGTATGGACTATGAGAAGCAACACTAACATAGCGGGGTCGAGGGGTGCAACCGCTGGCGCTGAGCAAACTGGTTTTCAATGTGCTTGTACAAGAATAGGAAAAATTGGTCGGTGTTCAACAAGGTCCTCCAAGTCCAGGCGGGAAAACCCTGCACCATGGGATGTCTCAGCCCAAGCCGCACAGCATCCAAATCCCAAAGCATCATTACCAAGAGCATCCACGCTCAAACCATAATTACCTAACGTCTGAGGACACTCCACAAGTGTCATGACGCTTCCTTCGAGGGCACATTCACAAAAAACTCAGAAGCGATTTGAGGAACAAAAGTCACAAGCCATGAGACCGACAGGCGTGTGGACAATTCCACCCGCCCGTGGTGGGCTAAAAGAGTCCTACCTACAGCATGAGGTGCCGGGAACTGCAGGATTCTCACTGGGGGGAAGAAGGCCTTGCCAGGGCTCACTGCGCTGCGCAATGTCCCGACCGTTACCCTGGCGCGCTAGGCCTCCAGCCAGGCCTCCCTGCAAGCCCGGACGCCAAGGTGACAGTTATGTTTCTTCCCCTTACGTAGCCCGCGCAAGGGATGACAATCTACTACAGCTCAGCTTCACCTTCGGGGGAACGGAATTAGGGAGCCACCGCCTGTTCCAGCACCCCAAATCCACAAAACTTTTTGCAAGTCGGACTCTCCGTGCCTGGCTTGAAGTAGAAGGACAGAGCATGAGGGCAACCTGCGGTCGAGAGCAGTCCACAAGTCCTGGCCAGAACGGCTCAGTTCAGCGCCAGCAGTGCAAGAGCCCAGGCATAGGTAGGCCAAAAGTGGAGCTCTCCCCACGACCGTGCTGGTTTTGGGAACATGCAGTTGCAGTCAGTCATGTCTGTTGTTCAGCTTCAGTTACCTGGTTTCCGGCTGCGCACTGCTTGATTGAGCTCGATTTTTGTTGTAAGATCTTCTGGAAACATTTTCCTGGAGTTGTCTTTTCTGATTTGACTTTTGCAGCAATAGGCTTCGGTCGGGATGGGACTTGTTTTGAGTACCCACACAACCCCCCTTTTCTCATTCCGTCTTTCAATTAGCAGCCTTCGAAGAGGGGGCTAGGTTCACACGTCCCAAACTCGAGACGTGAATGATTATTTATTTCCCTTGTCACTGAGACCATATTGATCCTTCATGTTCGGCTTGTCCACGCCTTCTGGGTCTTGAGCTGCTTCAGGGTCATTGGCTTGACCATCGTGCCCCTCAGCAGGTGGAGCTTCACGCTCATGCTTTTCCTTCGTGAAGGTGTAGCAGTAGTCGACCTGGATCTTCGGAACGTTGCGAACTGCACTGACATCCTCACCCTCTGGTGGCTTATCTTTGGTGTGGGGCGACTGCTTGGAACGCCCAAGGACACAGGCTTGACACCATGGTGCAAAAGGTTGGTGGGTCACAGAGTGAAGTTCTTGTTGTCGAGCAGAAGGTAGAACAGGAGCCCGAGGGGTGTCAGGATCACGTTGCTGCTCCTCAAACATCTTCTTGGCAACTTCTGTGGTCATCTGCTTCTCGAGGACCTCATGGTGGAGACGAAGCCGCCTGAGCAGCTTGTTCTTGGCACCGCTGGTGGGGAGGCCTAACTTCTTGCAAAGTTCTCGGAGGTCCTTGAGGGGGGTGTCAAGGCAAAGTCTCACCCCTTCAAGCTCCTCACCATCTGGCATTGGATCCTGGCCAAGAACATCACGTTTCACCGACAAATTCGTCAGGACCCGCGCCCGCTCCAGGTGGGATGTCATCACCCGGCATGGGAAGTTCCATTGACTCGTCAACGGGCTCCTTGAAGATGTTGCCAGGGGAGCTCAAGAGGTCCTTGGCAAGCTGATCAACATGAAGAAGAATCACAATGTCGTGCTTGCCCTTCAGCTCAGAATCCCACTCTTCAAGCTTAGTGGGCGCAGCTTCCAGGTCGACACTTTGCATGGCAGCGACTTGCACCCATAGGTCTCCACGTGGGGGACACCCTTGGACTCTTCGACCTTCACAAAGACCGCTGCCCACTGCCAATCTTGGGCGCTCCATATGTACTCGTCGAGGTCGATCTCAGAGGTGGAGTGCTGAACTTTCACAGGGAGCCTGCTGGGAACAATGTGCCACCCTGGCAAGGCAACACAATCTTCAACTTCAGGAGGAAGACTCCCTGTGTCAAACGATGAAACGGAGCAGGCAGTGATCGTTGAGATAACGGCAAGCATTGTCAAGGTGTTCCTCCGAAGGTGAATGGGGAGCTTGCACATGCCCCTGGTGATCACAGGTCCATTGGGTCCATGACCAAGTTGCCACCCCCATCGAAGAAGACGGCCTAGAGAAAGAATAACTGAACCCACCTTCGCAATGGCAAACTTCTCACGGATGGTGACCTTCTCACCCTGCTCGTCTTCAACCTCGATGTCAATGACACGACTTTGGGTCTCAGGGATTCTCTTGCCTTGGGCATCGTGCGTGACAACATGGGACCTTTTAGCTGGCTTGCCAACGTTGCGGTACTTCAAGGGCGCAACGGACACATCGGCACCACTGTCGACCACAACCTCGACCTTCTCGTGGCAGAGACCCTGGGACTGGACAGCAAGAACGCCAACTGGAAGAAAGTTGTCCAGGGTCATGTAGTCGGGGAAGGTCCAATCGCCATCGTCATCCGTGGCGTTCATTGTATGCACAGGCAGGGGAGCAGGGTGATTAGCTTCTGAAGTTGCCTTGATGACAAGGACGTCTGGGCTAGTAAGGCTGAACCCTGCCAGGTCGTCATCATCCACCTCACTGATGTCAAAGATCATGGTGCTAGGGGTTCGGTACGCGGCTGCCAATGGCCAGCTTGGCCACACAAATGGCAAGCAGAATCGTTGTTCTTCTTGCCTTTGGTCTTGCCGCCTGCGTTCTTTCCAAAATTCCCAGACCAAGACTGAGAACCCCATCCTTTTCCAGAACCAGGCCAAGACCAGCCCTTGCCGTCCACATTCTTTGTCTTTGACTTTCCTTTGTCTTTTCCTTTTGGCTTGCCCTTGGACCGCTTTCCTTTGTCCTTTGCCTTGCCCTTGTCCTTGTCCTTGGCCTTCACCTGGTCAACCTCCATAGGTTGCGGGCCATCACCGCCAGGAGCTCGAACTGAAAGACTAGAGCTCCAAGGGGCATTCAAGCTCTCATACTGGAGGATCCATTCTCGGACATCGCTGTACTTTGTGGAGGAGCCCATTCGAAGTTGAACCTGGCTCTTCAAGGGTTCTTTCAAGCCGGTGACCACTGTTGCCATGACCAAATCTTCGGGGAAGGACTTGCCACTGCTTGCCTCGTAGGTACGAAGAGCTTCTTCGTACTTCACCAGCTGTTCGTGCAGGCCTCCAGTCGTTGAAAACTGCCATGAGGCCAGCTGCCTCATGAGGGCCAGACTTCTGGCCTTCTCCCGCAGCTCCATCTCCTGCTTCAAGAGACGGATTGCTTCAAACCCGCTGCGGCTGCTTTCCAGATTCTTGATCAAGAGCAACGGCCTGCCCTTGACAAGGCTGCACAGGACACCATACAGCTTCTGACTTCTCGCCACGCTCTCATCCTCAAGGAGGTCGTGGTCCACGGGGTCATTGACATCGATGCTGCTCAGCTCGTCCTCGTACTTGGGGTCATTGGCAATTACCCAAGTTGAAAATTGAAAATACCATTCCTTCCATGTCTTCAGCTCCTCCTCACGAGTTGCTGGCTTCCAAGCTTCAACCTTCAAAGCTTTGACAAGATTGTCTGACTTGACAATCGAGGCCTGGGCCTCTGCAGCAGCTGCAGCTTTTTCTGTCGTGCGCAGCAGCCTTCCGAAAACACCATCGAAGGCTTGCTCAAGCCGCTGCCGAACAAGTCGATCCACCTGCTCGGCCATTGCACCGCCATCCCCAGAGCTCGAGGCGCCAGGAGGGCCTTGAGGCCCCATATTCACACCATCTCCAGGATTCATTGCTGCAGCCCAGAGTTTAGCAGACTGAAGCCTGCTTCTCTTGTAACCTCTTTCTTCACACGCACTGAGTCTGAACAACCCCTGCACACCAGCACTGAACTGCAATGTACAATGTCCACACGCACTAAATCTTCCAACCAGCTGCTCCACAACACAAGCAATGATTGGGCTCAAAAACTGTCCACAAGCACTGATGTAAGCACCAATGCCAGGCAAAAGAAAGTCCGGAGGCGCCCTGTCCAGAAAGGGACTTACCCTAAAAGAAGATTGTCGATCGGCCAAGCAAATGGAAGCGATCACAGAAGGAGGTGGGCAAATCAAATTGCAGCCACCGGGAGCAGCGAGGGATATCGAGTGAAACAACAAGAAGCTCAAGGCTCGTGAGGGCCTAATCTCTACAGGGGCCTCTAAGGAACCTCTAGAAGGGGATTGGGTCCTGTCCCCTGGAGCTGCCTGTCGTCCAAACCCAAAGGAGTGGAATCGGTGAGCAGCTCCGCTACCATGAAACTTTTTCCTCACAACTTGAGGGCTGCGAACATTCGAGGTCTGTTGCTCAGGTGACATATCCATCAAAACTAGAACTGAACCCCATGATCCCATTCGTCTGTATTCAAACAACTTCTGCAATTCCAAGTCCTGACCTAAGCCACTATCATCGCTACCTCCCCCGTACAGTGGCTAATTTCTAGGGATCTCCTGGCGTGCTAAGCGCATGGAGAGGTCCCGGACGGCGGCTTCCTGGCTGGAAGCCTCAAGTTTTAACATGAGGCGAGAAGTGTGAGAAGAGGGCTGGGAAAGTGGCGAAGGGGGAGGTCTTCCTCAATACTGCGGGGGACGTTTATCAGTCCAGCTTCGCAATCAGCTCTTAACCGCCGAATCTTCAACTTCATCCACATTAAGTGGACCCTCTCCTCCCAAAGCCTGCACTCTGCGAAAGGCAAATGCCAGCTCAGGCGACTTCTACAGTTATGCATGCAACAAACGTGTATGATTGCTGCCAGGATATCTAGTATGTCGTGGTCCCGTTACGAACAAACTGCTGTGAAAACTGAGGTCAGCTCACTAGTTATGTGGGTATTTTTCACAAAAGAATCCCTACATAACCACCATGACTGAGGGTTGTGTCAGTTGTGCTGCGACGATGACCAGTTTACCGTGAGATCCAGACAAAGCTTCTCAAAGCGCCTGTCAATGTAATGTTGTACTCAAGATGCTTGACATCTGATAAAGTTTAACCACCAGAGGAAGCTAGCAATAGCAGCAAGAGTGGCTACGTCTTCCAAATGATAGCATCACCCGAACGGCAATGGAGGTGTCGAGCCAAGCCGAATCCCTTCACTGCGCGCGGGAGCGGATAGAAGGCAGTGAGAGCAAGGCAGTGAGAGCAAGGCAGGCGCAAGGGAGCATGCTCATGCCCCAACACGCTCAAATTTTGCACCCATCAGGGGCTCACCTCCTTTATTTAGAATTTGATGCTGGCCAGAATGGATGCTTCTGTTCGTGAGTGGTCTAATACGCTCTCGATGGCATGAGCTAATTTGCAATCTGGTTGTTGATGAAGGAAACCTTACATGACATTCATAAACCAGGATTTATGGAATCGGATCTCAAGCCCTGAGGCCCAACACTCAGCTTCAAATCCGTAAGAAGCTTCTTGACATCAAGATTCAGGACTTCTTGCCATCACGAGACACTGGAGGCAGACCCTGACAGCAGCAAGCACAATCGTAGCAATAAGAAAAAGAATATTCCGAAGATCAATAAGCAAGAGTTTTGATTTCATGGGAGTTTCTCAACATGGGGGGCCCTTAGGGACCCGAGGGATGAAGGGGATTATGAGGGGACCAAAGCTGGTGGACCCACGCTGCAAGAGAAATGACTTGAAGATCAGGGTTGTGGCTTTGGGTCCTCCGATATGACGGCCCTTCCTATTCTGAGGCTGCAGCATGCGGTAAAAGGAAAGCGTGGCAGATTCAATCACAGGCGAACTCGAAGTCCTGATATTCATCCAAACTACTGGGATCCTCACTGTAGGGATTCCCTTGAAAGTCTGAAACTGCAGTGCTACATCCAGACGAGACCCAGTACAAGACGTCCTGACTTGTAGAAAACCATATAACTCACAATCCATATGCAATCCCCTTCTTTCCCCGGCTTCACGATCTTTATACCCACATATGATCCTCATGCTTCCCCGCGGAGCTTTGAGGCCCCCACCTTGGCTTCCAGCACTCCCAGGCGGTCCAGCACAGCATCCAAGCCTCGAGGCCAAGAATCTCCAAGTGGGAAGTCAGAAACTTGTTCCTAATGCTGTTCTTACCTTTAGCAGTAAAAAACCGGAACAAACATTCTCGCGTTAGAAAGTGTGGTACCGATTCATAAGAGTAAGAATGCTGCGATCTTAGCATGTGAGATCTAACCAGCAGTATACTACCACTATCATCTGCATTTTGCTAGTCGAGATATCCCACGCGCATGGAAGGTCCCATGAAAGCTTTCGGCCTCCTCGGGCAGCTTCCGGCGATTTTGGCAGGGATCCCTGCCGAGAGGATAATCCAGACAGGAGGAAGGGATTATATGGGGCATGAAACATTGTGTCTCTAAATCTTGAGTTCAGGTATCATCTCTTGCTCTATGTGGGTATTTCTCAAAACAATCCTTAAATAATGTCTTATAAGGACCCCCGTAATCCTCTTGCAATCCCTATATACCCCGACGGTCCCTAAGGGCCCCCTGTTTTTGAGAAGCTGCCTAAAAACTAAACCCTAATGTCCCGACCATCGGAGGGGAGCCTGGAAGGCTTTAGGGGTTTTGGGTTTAGGAGTTTAGGGCTTAGAGGTTTGCGGTGTAGGGGTTTAGGGTTTGTTCAGAGGTTTGCGGCATAGGGGTTTAGGGTTTAGGGGTTTTGGGTTTAGGGGTTTAGGTTTAGGGCTTCTGGGTTTCGTTGTGGATGGCTCGTCTGAATGTGACCAGCATTGGAATAGAGTCTATCCCCGCAGTCGAAGCACTTGGTAGGTATTCTTCTTGCATATCATAGTCTTTTGCAGGTGTTGTTGCTATGAACATGATGAAACGCTTGCTCAGTAATATGTAGAGCAATGGTTCGTTATTCAGTGATACCCAGGTGTGCCACAAACTATTGGGACTCCAGCAGCATACACCCATCCAAGAAAACGACCGACTACCCCAGGCTCGCCGTGTTTGCGGCCCGAAAAAGCACCACACCCACCCAGCGAACCATCGCCTGGAGTTTCTCTGTGGAGTCTGCAATCTTTGACAGCAAAGCAGCATGCTGCGCGCGGCCCTGGGACACAACTGACATTTGCAGGGCTCGATGAGACTTTGTAGGGGTGTCTGGACATGGCTCAGGTTGGAATTCACTCATGTGACAGCCCAAGTAATCGTGCAACGTCTCCCCTCCAGTGCATGTGGTAGTTTGCCCTTGCCCTCAGATCTTTCTAGCATTCACGGTGATGGTGACGGTGATGACACAGCGGCAGCAACAGTAGCAACAGTAATCATGCAAACTGCGGGAACCTCACTGTCTACTTGGAGCTCGTTGCTAAGCAGGGCACGCAGGCCTGCCACCTCTTTGAAGTGGCAGCTTGGGTGCAGGAATGAGGTTCCTGCAACTGCCCTCTACTCCAATCGAATGGGATTTCTTCTCCAGCCTAGGAATTGAAATCGAATCCCAATTTCCCATTTACGAGACGTGAAACACATCGCTGACCTCCTCACGCAAAGCGCCTTCGCACTGCTTGCGAAGCTCCTGCCGGGCAGTCGATATCCCCTCAGACCAAGCATCCCAAGAGGGGCCATGCAAGGACCACGGCCCTTGTGAGAAAAGTTCCTGCAATGGGTTCCATGTTAGCTTATTGCCGCAAGGTACATCGATTGCGCATGCGAGTTCATGTCAAGATTTCTTGCCTGGATCCGGGCAATGCCTTGGAATAGGAAGATCACGGGATCCACGGGATCCCGTATTACTGGGACATCTGCTATGAAAAATGCATCCCAAGCACATAGCCCTTCTTAAGTAGACCGGAGTCATGAGTCTAGCACTGGGTAGTGTAGGTAGACGTCTTACTCCATTTTAGCGTCTCCTTTAGGGAGTTACTCCAACGACACAAAACCGCAAGCAGCAAGCGGCCTAGCAATCCGCTCGGCCTCCAAGTCCTTGGCCCCGCTGCGCCAGACTTCTGGATATCTTGCCGATGCCTAAAAATTAGGTACGCATGCTGTTGTTCAAGTCACGTACCTTGCTTCTAAGAGGTGGTGAGGTGCTACCTGTGTAAGTCCAAGCATTGGACACATCTCCACATCAAGATCTCAAGCAACTCAAGGTCAGGCCTGTGGTTGCAGGCGGGCCTGGAACTGATCGGGGAGTTTCTGAAGCTTCGGCTACACTAGAGAAGGCCAGGGATATGTTTTGGGGATTCTCAGGCATTGCGGTCTGGCACTGCGGTCTGATGCTAGGATGGATGGCACTTGAAGATTGAGGATTTCAAAGGCCCTGCTGCCGGGTGGGGCGGGTGGCAGACCGTGAGGACGAAGCCGCGCAAACACACAGCAGATAAAGCAGAACACCTGTTGAAAAGGAATTTCTTGAAATAGCAACAGGGAACGCTCAAAACTTTTTGCGGGTCCAATTGTGAGCAACCCGTTTGACACACCGACATGGCAGTAGCCTTTTTATACCAATGGGATCCTTGTTCTGAAAGGCCCGTGTGCACTCCACATTCGCTACAATAGCGCTGCATACGATTTACATTTATTTGGGGTAATGACCATATAGCACTTTCGTTCCTAAAGCAACCAGAACCTGACGCAGCGTTCGCTTTGTCAGGTGGGGCCGGGGCCCGTGAATCGTCCTTCGACAGCTCCTCCAAAGGGTAGGAAATGTGGAATGCCACAAGGATTAAAGGGCGCAGCACATCAGGGGATCTCTCAAAATTATACGAACCGCTGTGGGGATCTGTGTCTACGTATGTGAATTTGGG